ACACTATCACTAATTATACATGTAACAATACAGACTGACACTATCACTAATTATACATGTAACAATACAGACTGACACTATCACTAATTATACATGTAACAATACAGACTGACACTATCACTAATTATACATGTAACAATACAGACTGACACTGCTATACTAATTGTAAATCGTTTGAGATTTAACAGTTCTAATCACAGCTAACTTTATATGTTGTTTGAACAAATATGAATTGGTTTGATATTTAACAGTTCTAATCACACCTAACTTGTAATGTTTTTTGAACAAATATGAATTGGTTTGAGATTTAACAGTTCTAATCACAGCTACCTTGTAATGTTTTTTGAACAAATATGAATTGGTTTGATATTTAACAGTTCTAATCACACCTACCTTGTGATGTTTTTATTTTTTACAGACAGGAAGAATTGATGTCAGCTATCCTCAGGTTGCAGGTCACAAGGGCCCCGTGATGGACATTGCATGGTGTCCTCACAATGATAATGTCATAGCAAGTGCATCTGATGATACCTTTGTCCGTGTTTGGCACATTCCTGATGGAGGTTTGGTCCGACCTTTGGTTGATCCTGTTGTTGAGCTGATGGGTCACCAAAAGAGGGTTGGTCTAATACAGTGGCATATGTCTGCCAACAATGTATTGTTAAGTGCAGGTGAGAGTTATAGTTGTACATGATCAATACACTTAATATTATTATTATTAGTAGTACTGACAGATTGTAAATTTGGTTAAAATCTTTCATTTTGAAAAGTTGCATTTAAGTACATGTGTATATGCAGTAGTTGTATTAGGTAGGTGTAATTATTAAGGCCCTGTGCAAACTTAAGAACACTGACCTGAAAATAGTGAAATCGGTACACAATTTTGTGGTCATAACTAGCCTGTATTACTCAGATAAAGTAAATTTATAAATAGTAAAAACAAAGCATCAAAGTAAAGTACCTCATAATTTGTAATGGCTTCAAAACGTAATTTAATATACCTTAAAAGCCCATATCTCAAAAAGCTATTTAAAATTATAACAACAAACACTGAGTACATTTTTTTCCCAAGTGAGAACAGCTGAAGATCTTATGGGGCTGTTTTACATGTGATGGGAAAACATTACAGACTGTGTAAAGATGTTTTATCTCATGATTACTCATTGACCAGAAATCAAGCTTTAAATTGGTGCACATAAAAGTCCACTGAAATCTACAATACATCAGATGTGACAACTGAGTTTGGCTAGTTTATTTTAAAACTTAATTCTTTATACAATAGCAATGGTAATTATAATCAACAGTTTAAATCTTTCTTCTTTTTTGTTTGTTAAGGACTGAATTAACTGTTTCATTACCATAATTATAGACGAACAACTCTCCCAGTGCCAGGTTTAGTTTTGTAAATACACAATAAAAAACAAAAGGATACATGTTTGAATATTTCACTACTTTCTCTAAAGCTTGAAAACTTTAGGAACTTAAATACCTTTTCTTCAGGGTGGCACAAACTTCCAAACTCGTGTGGCAGTGTTTTAGAGGAGGGGGGGGGGGTGTATATGTGCACATGGCAGTGAAAGAGATATGTTATTATATAACTGATACTTGAAACCATCAGTACTTGGTGAAACTCCATGATTACAGAATTGAGGAGAGAATAAAAGGCAGTTGTACCTTTCACAAATACTTCATTTAATAATGACCATGGGTCAGGTAAAACCATGGTCATTAATAAATGAAGGGTTCTGTTGATATAATAAAAATTCCTTTTTTTTACTCTGATTTTTCTTTGAGTAATGTTTGTAAAATTTTAAATATTCAGGTTTGATTTGTTTGTGAAAGAAGTGAGATACAAGTTTTTTTTTTTATTAAGTGGAATACCAGATGACAGAGACACGTGTACTGGCTTTTGTGTTTGTTTAGTTTTCCTGATGCACAAAAAGGACACTCATTGGGAGTGAAGTGTTTAAAGGTGCCAATCTGTATTTTCAAAATGCAAAATATAAGTTATTAAAAATACAACTAGAAATTAAAAAAAAAAAAATGTTAATACCGTAGGAGAATTTTAAAACTTAACGACATTCTGTATGTTGGAATGAAATACTTAGTTGGACAAATGGTACCCTCAGACGTAAAAGGAATGGATTTTTTTTGCCTTACTGTGTGTCACTATCTGCTCACCTAGAACTAAATATAACGAAATCACCATTGGCTGAAGAGAAAAGGACTATTTTTAGTTTTGGCTTCATGTGTTTTGATGTGTTTGCATCAGTCAAACTGTCTTTATTAGGGAAGTTTGATATAATTGAGTCATACAGGACTTGGGTCAAGTGTGTTCTTCATTATGAGAAGTGTTAGAAAGTTTTCACTTTGTTTCTTTTGTTACATACTTTAGTCTTCTCTCCAATTATGGTGTTGTGCTTTTTTTCGTCTGTATTTTAATAGTAAAACTTCCAGTGATTTTTAAATCTGTATTTTAAGAGACTACATTCTGTTATTTTTATATGTATATTGTAAGAGGACAACTTCCAGTACCAAAACACACGTTTCAGAAGAAAAATTCATTTCCGTAACAATAATTGTTTCCATCAATACAGTATTTACTTGAGTGAAGCTTTGAGTAAACTACTTGTATGTGTATTGTACATTCCTTATGGATGTTTTTTTGTGGGATCTTTGGTTGACGGTGTTGTTGAACTGGTGGTCAGTGATCAAAAGAAAATTGATTGTCTTAATAGCGTCATTGTTAAACATTGTGGTTATATCTAACAAATACACTTCAGTATAGTCATTTAGTATTCTTGAGAGATTGTAAACCTATCTAAAATGTTTGGGTTTGAAAATCTGTGTTTAAATAGTACGTATATATATATGTGTGTGTGTTTCAGAGCTAGCCAACAAAGTTATTATGTATATTGTTTGTTTTCTCAGTGAAGCTAATGTTCCTTATAAAGTGTTTTATAATCGTAGTTATAGATATAATTATTGGTAGTAATTTTTATTTTTGATGTTGTATGAAGTTTTCTAAGTTTATTTTGTACCTGCTAACAGTATTAAATAATAATAATAATTTTGTATTTCAAATATAGTTGTCACGGTAAGTAATTCTTACGGTCAGAAAAAAATACTGTGTATATATATATATATATATATATATATATATATATACGTA